CGTTCCGCTCATGTTCCCAGAGCCGCCTGGGAGGCGGCCACACACACCAACCGCTTCGCCACCGCTGGCAGCTGGCGTGGACCGCACCGTCGCGCGCAAATGACGCAGGGCTCTAAGTGACCGGAAGTCCCGCCTCCATCAGCGGAAACGCCCCTGCCCTGGCGCGCAGTTTTCTGGGTAATGTAGTTTTTCCTCTGCAAACTGCCTGCAGGGCTGCAGGGCAGGGCAGTGCTGCTGGAGCTGCTGGTCCCCCGGGTGTTTTTTTCTTTTCTTTTGTTTGTGTGTGTTTTCTGATTTTTATTTTATAATATATTTTTATTGATTTCAGAGAGGAAAGGAGAGGGAGAGATAGAAACATCAATGATGAGAGAGAATCATTGATTGGCTGCCTCCTACACCCCCTATTGGGTATCCCTCCCCACATCCGATCGCCATTACTATTATCTGTTTCTAAGAGTTTGACAACAGTTATGGGCCACTTAGGGACATGGATACATTCTAAGAAATTCATCCTTTTTTAAAAAAATCTTTGTTGATAGTATTACAATGTCCCCTTCCCCCCACCCCCCCTTGACCCCTTCTAGCCCGGCCCTGCCCCAGGCCTTCCCCACCCCATTGTCTGTGTCCATGCGTTATGCATATCTACACACAAGATCTTTGGTTCATTTCTTCCCACCCACCCCTGCCTTCCCTCTGAGAGTCTACAGTCTTCCATGCATCTCTGTTTCTGGATCTATTTTGTTCATCAGTTTATTTTGTTCCTTAGATTCCACATGAGTGAGATCATGTGATGCTTATCTTTCTCTAACTGGCTTATTTCACTTAGCACGATACTCTCCAGGTCCCTCCATGCTGTCTCAAAGGGTGAGATCCTTCTTTTCTTATTGCTGCAGTATCCCATGGTGCAAATATACTGCAGCTGTTTTAATCCACTCATTGGCTGATGGGCACTTGGGCTGTATCCAGGTCTTAGCTATTATAAATTGTGCTGCTGTGAACATAGGGGTACATACATTCTTTATGATTGATGTTTGGTGTGTGTGGTTTTTTGTGTTTTTTTTATCTCTTCACTCCAGGATAGTATTTTTTCCATTGCTTTTTAGAGAGTGGAAGGGAGGGGTGGAGGGAGAAGAAAGAGAGAGAGAGAGAGAAGTGAGAGACACATCAATTGGTTGCCAAAGCCAGGCACCTCACCCCCCAGGCTGGGATCTATCCTGCAATCCAAGGTACATGCCCTTAGACCAGGAATGGAACCTCCGATCACTGGGTCTGACCCTGCCAAGGCGTTAGGGGTGAGTTAAGTAAATGTTTGACCAAACATAGCAGGCTAATTTTTTATTGTTGTCCATCCTCACTAGAGGATATTTTTCCATTGCTTTTAGATAGAGGGGAAGGGAGGGAACGAGAGAGAGAAAAACATCAATGTGAGAGAGACTCATTGATTTGTTGTCTTCCACAGGTGCCCCAACTGGGGCCTGGGATCAAACCTGCAACCCAGGTACATGCCCTTGACCAGGAATTGAACCTGAGAGTGGAAGGGAGCGAGAGTTATACCAGAAATAAAGATTCTACCCAATGACACACCAACGTACATAGGTGTAAAGACGTGGTACAAAATGATTGACCTTTTGCCCTGGCCCTAGGTAGCTCAGATGGTGAGAGCGTCATCCCAATACACCAAGGTTACAGGTTCCATCCCCGGTCAGGGCACGTACAAGAACCAACCAATGGATGCGTAGATAAGTGGAATAGCAAAGCGATGTTTCTCTCTCTCTCTCTCTCTCTCTCTCTCTCTCACTTCCTCCTTCTAAAATCAATAAAAAGTTTTGCCCTGGACGGTTTGGCTCAGTGGATAGAGCATCGGCCTAAGGACTGTACGGACTGAAGGGTCCTGGGTGTGATTCTGCTCAAGGGCACATACCTCGGTTGCAGCCTCGATCCCGGGCCCTGGTTGGGGCGCACGCGGGAGGCAACCAATCAATGTGTCTCTCTCACACCGATGTTTCTCTCCATCTCTCCGTCCTTTCCACTCTCTCTAAAAAAATCAATGGAAAATATCCTCGGGTGAAGAGAAAGAAAACAAAAAGAAATAAAAATAATGTTAAAATAAATGATTAATCTTTTATTAATTAGCATCTTATATTTTAACAGTGAAGACACAACAGACAGACATGATAGCGGAGCCAGGAGAGCTCCCTGAACAAACACATAGGAACCGGGGCGGGCAGGGCTCAGGAGGCCGACGGAGCGGGTGGAGGCCCCACCCTCCGAGAATGGGCCTGCACCCACGGGTGCTGCAGGACCTGGGCCAGCGGCAGCCGCTCCGAAGGCTGGTATCTGAGAAGCTTGCTGATCAAGTCCTGGGCCCCCAAAGGTATTGATGGAGGAAACTTTACATCAACCTGAGGAGGTTGGAGGAGAAACACAAGTATGGTTAAATTTAAAACATATATATATATACTGTCCCAAAATTCACACAAGATTTGAATTTTGCATGAGCATTAACAGCAACAACAACAAAAAATAAAAGCCTAATTTTACTTGGTTTACTGAATCAGGTTCTAATATCTGTTGCCCTTTGATTTCAATCCCTTCAATTTGATAAGCATTACCAAGTACCAATTATGGCCCAGGAGCAGGGACAATGAAGACCAATGAAGACCACGGCTTTGCGTATGTGCCAGCAAAGCTGTGGAGGCTATTTACCCGATGTGCTATTCCATACATAACCCTATACTGTATACTTTACGAATCAATAAAAAATTTACAATTTTTAATTATAAACCTGTGTTTTCTATCAAAATTACTTCTTGCGTGAATTTTGGGACACCCTTTATATACTAGTAGCCCTGCGCACAAATCCGTGCACCAGTAGCTTGCTGCGGCCCTCCTGTAGCTCTCCACCCGCTTGTAGCTTGCTGCCCCACCCTCCTGCTGATCTGTGATCTGGTCATTACCCGGTCGGTCGTTATGTAACGGCCATTTGCATATTATATCTTTATTATATAGAATATGTGTGTGTGTGTGTGTTTGTGCATTTAATATATTTTTATTTATTTCAGAGAGGAAAGGAGAGGGAGAGATAGAAACATCAATGATGAGAGAGAATTGATTGGCTGCCTCCTGCACGCCCCCTACTGGGGATCGAGCCAACATCCTGGGCATGTGCCCTGGAAAGGAATCGAACCTGGGTCCCTTTAGTCAGCAGGCCGACACTCTACACACTGAGCCAAACCAGCCAGGGCTGGTATGGTTAACTTTTTTTGGCCCAGGTTCTCTCTGCGGTGAGTCCCTTCCAGGCGCGGGATCTAAAACGACAAGCTCTGTGCATGTTGCAGGCTGGGCAGGCCCAGCAGCCATGGGTGCCCGGCTGCCCTGGGAGCGAGAGGGACAGGGCCGCCTCACCTTGAGGATGCGCCTGTAGGTCTCGGAATAGGAGGAGCTCTCGAAGGGGGGGTTTCCCACCAGCAGCTCGTAGCAGAGCACCCCGATGCACCACAGGTCCACCATCTCGCTGTACGTCCTCTGCTCGATCATTTCCGGGGGCAAGTAATCCAGAGTCCCGCACATGGTCTTCCTCCTGGAGGCGGGCGGAGGCGTGAGCGTGGCCCAGAGGCCCAGAGGCCCAGACCAGGGAAACATCTTTCCTCTGGCCCCAGGGAGACGGGAGTCTCCTCCCCAGCACGGAAGCTGGGAAGCACCAAGTTTTGTGTGTTTTTTTAATATATTTTTATTGATTTTTTAAAATTAAATCTTTATTGTTCAGATTATTACAGGTGTTCCTTTTTTCCCCCCCTATAGCTCTCCTCCACCCAGTTCCCACCCCACCCTCTGCCCTTACCCCTCCCACTGTCCTCATCCATAGGTGTACGATTTTTGTCCAGTCTCTTCCTGCACCCCAAGACCCCTTTTTATGGAGAGGAAGGGAGAGGGATAGAGAGTTAGAAACATCCATGAGAGAGAAACATCGATCAGCTGCCTCCTGCACACTCCTCACT